GAGACCCTGCGTCCCCCCAGCGCCCGTCCCCCTGTCACTGCTGGCGCCTCCCGGCTCAGCCCCACCGCCCTCGAGGGCTACAACGCTGGGGAGCTGGACACAGCGGGCTTTTAGCGCACGGGCAGAGGCTCCGAGCCCCCGCGCAGGAGAGCCGCGGGGGACCCTGTTCCCTGGGTTTCACCGTGCCCCCGTTCCACGGCAGGTCCGCTGTCCCTGCCCTTGCGCTCCGGCAAGGCTGCGCAGGGAGCTCGGACACAACACAGCTCGGAGGAGCCTCATGTGCCAGGGAGAGCTCACAGCAGGTTCAAGGTGGTGTCCAGCTGGTCCAGAAACCCTCCCAGCTGGGAAGCTCCACCGTCAGACAAGGAAGATCTCGGGATCTCCCAGAGCGCAAAGACTGAAGAACCTTTAGAAACACAGGTAGATGATATCGATCGTATCACCTCGTAGTGACCAGAGCACCTCTCCCTGCGGCGAGGAGCACACGTTCTCCCATGCCAGGCAGGTCTGATCACACACAGGAATGGGCACAGAGCCCAGTTTTCACTTCAATACGTCACCTTGAGCTACTTGGGATTTAAGATGCTGCAGCAAACAGAGCAACAATACCAACTAGTTACTATAGCAGAGAGAAAAAAAGAAATAGCTACTTTTTAACCGCAGTTACAGTTACACACAGAGCAGCTCCCAGGACCCCTCCACGCACACGCAGAACAGAAACCTCCGCAGCATGCGACACCGCAGCAGGATCCACAGCCAGCCCAAGCGGCTTGGATGAAATGGATGGAAATGCCCCGTGCCCAGTCAGGAAGACATACTTCCCTCGGGCTGCTATTCTCATGCGTAGATCCAGTGCTCAGCAGTGTCCTCCCAGCAAGTCAGCTCCTCCGGGCGGAACCAGAGGGAGATCTCCTGCCGGGCACTCTCAACCGAGTCGCTGCCGTGGATCACATTCCTGTGGGGAAGAAGAAAGGGATCAGCTGGGACTAAGTAGAGAAAGGCACGAGAGGGAAGCTGCAGTTTGGAAAATTTCACCTTGACTAATTTAATTAAACTGATTGAGCCAGTCACATCCTACAATATTCCTTCCCACCGCACAGCCCTCCTCCTTCCAGCTCAAGGGCTGGTCATGGTTATGCTGAACACGGCTTAGGTGATGGATGTGTGGGAGCTGGCAGTTCCCAGCACTCCTTCCTCCTGCGATGAGGAACCATTTGTTTGCTACAGGAGGAGCTGCAAGTGGCTGTTGGTCTGGGGTTTGCCTTGTTTTTATGTCAGTAATTCAAGTTTTGCCTCCAGATTTCCTCATCCCTTCTGTCAAAGTAGGTCCATTGAAGCAGGTTTAGTATCAGACACCACGGAACAGAAACCTAACCCAGGAGGGTTCGATAAAAGCGGTGTCTACCACAAACCAGGCTGCAGCCACCTGCAGTCACAGCTGGTGGATCTTCACCGGTGAAGAGCCCTAGCACATGTAGAGCTCCCGCTTGGCTTTCATTACAGACTCACATGCCCAGTGGAGCTAGAGCAGCTTTCCAGGTGCCCTGCTCCCCCAGGAAAGGACTGAGAGGGCTCCTCCCTTCCTCCTCACAGCCTGACAGTCCTGATTCCCTGGAGCAAAAACCAAGCAAACCCCACCTGCTTTCAACAGAGAAGGCCTCAGGAGGCAGGAAAGACACAAACCCAGGCTCCTCTTTCTGGCAAAGCCAACCCCAGGAGGCAGAAGTCAGCACCTCCTGCCAGGGCTGCTCTGCAAGCTGCCAGAGGGAGACAGCTCTGATCTGAGCACAGAAGGGCGCAGCTCTGCTCTGCGGATGCAGACTCGCATGCCTTGTGCCTGGACAGGATGCCCCGAAATACTGAGCGAACAAAAAGCCAAAGCTCTCACTTGCTGACTTCAACGCAGAAGTCTCCTCGGATAGTGCCAGGCCTGGATTCAGCTGGGTTAGTCTCCCCAATCATTGTGCGAACTGTTTTGACCACATCCAGGCCCTGCCAGACCTATGTGACAGCAGAACAAGAATCAGCTTTCACAACTCCCCCAGCAGATCCTATTGTCTGTCCTCTAAATTCCCCATCTGATCCACCTGGGTGAGAGACAGGAAAGGATCTCTCTGTAAAGAGTCTTCAAAAGTTGATTTTGGAAAATAATCAGAACTGTCTGTGGATTCAATTTACCATGCCTGCAGTACAGTACAGCTTTAAGAGGCCCTCTGAAGAGAGAGGCCACCTTGTTTCCAATGTACCACATGCCAATGCCGCTTATACTTTGCACTTACTTTCTGTTCCTTGGTTCAGGGAGAACCTGGCCAGCACTCACCATGGCCACCACAGGTCCAGAGCTCATGTACTTCACCAGCCGGCTGTAGAAGGGACGGTCACGAAGGGCGATGTAGTGCTCTTTCAGCAGCTCCTCTGAGGCCTGAGCACAAAGAGCACAAAGCTTAGTCTGCTCTGAGCAAGGGGGGATTTGGGCAAGGTCTACACCTGAGAGATGGAGTTATATCTGGATAGTGCATGTTACAATTCAGCTCCTGCACAGACGCTCACTTCCAAGAGTGAAATGGATTTACTTTGCTGAGGCCTGACACCGGGACAGGAGAAGTTTCTAGGTCAGAGGAGCAACACTGGCCAGCTTAAAACAGCCATGTCCCAGAGCCCTGGAGCACAGGCACAGCAAAGAGCAGGCATGCTCCCCACAGCAGGGATCACTCCTCCAGAAGCAGTTTAGGCACCTGGGTGCCAACACCCCTCTGACCTGTGAGGATCTGATGCCCGAATGACAACAGCAGGCTGTACGAGCAGGCAGAAACCCCCCGGCAGTTACCAGCAGAGCTGGGGCCTGTGAGGCTGCACGGACCTTGCTCCAGCCTGGGCCCCTCAGCAGCAGGAGACCCCCCACCCTGGCAGCAGCGGTACTGGCCGGGCCACTCACCTGCAGGAGCTTCAGCCCCACCAGCTGCAGGCCCTTCCTCTCGAACCGTCGAATGATCTCCCCGACCAGGTGCCGCTGGACCCCATCCGGTTTGATGGCCACGAAGGTGCGCTCGTTGGCCCCGCTGCAGGCTGTAAGGAGAGGGCGGAGGCGTGAGGCGGGGAGGGGGGG